CACAGATCACTCACACTGGTGAGGCCTGTGTAATTTTCTACCAATTTTTTAACAACACTAGGGGGCCACGCATATGATTGTAAACTTCTGTCAAATGAATAGCTCTGTACAAATTACTTTTTCCTACTCTCAACTATAATCCTACTTACTATAAAAGAGGCAATATGTCAATTACTGTTCATTCAAGACGTATTTTGAGTTTTCCTATTTTACCCTTCAATATCCCATACTAAATTAATCCACATCTTTTCGACTGAATATTAAAAATATTCAATATTGTGATGCTGCTGTTTTGCCTGATTTGAATTTTTACGTCCAAAACAAAATAGTTGATGTCATACCACATAATATTTTTTTTAAGAAAATGATATAAATTATATTGAGAAAATTGTCGTGAAAAAATAACAAACATTAATAAAATAATTGATTTTCTTAAGAAAAAAGATGAGTTATACGTATTTTTTAACACACACGTTTGATGTACGTTTAAATATTTTCGATATTCATTTAAATAATTCGATATGTCTATGATATAGTTCTCGAAATGAATTTCGAGAGAACATAGAAGATTTATGTATTCAACTACTGTACAATCATTGACATATATTACAATAAAAGAGTGAATGTGGCGAGCACTATTCATTCAGGGCGTATTCTGTATTTTCTTATTTTCCCCTTGAATATTTCATAATATCTCACTTCGCTCCTAAAATCACTACTAATGATCTTCCTACGTGTGAGTGATGTTGCTGTTTTGCTTGATTTGAATTTTTACGTCAAAAAAAAATAGTTCACATCATACCACATAATATTTTTTTTAATAAAATGATATAAAATAATTATAATGTTGTCAATTATATAAATCTTTATTACGTGTAGAAAGTGTAATTTAAATAATTTTTTCCTTTTTTAATTATACAACCTATTATTTTCCACGCTTTTTCCCTTTTAGAAAATTTTGAAGTTAGTCCCAAACTATGTCCTCTGTGGCTAGATTGTCTCTAGCTTTAATTTTTGGGGTATTTCAGTAGCTAATACTGTTATTGTACGTGTAGTCATCATTAATGAATAATTTAATATAGAAGTAAAATAAATAAAAGCTGAAAAATAGAAGGAATGGTTACAGTGTGAAGGTGAAAGGGAGGCATTAATGGGTAAGGGCGGAGGCGAAAGAAGGGGTTGAAATGGCGTAGAAGGCGAAACTATGGGTAGTAGAAGGCGAAAAAATAGGGTTGTGAGGAGGGCACGGTGGCATAGAGAGAGGTGAAATAGCTGATTGACAGTGGTGCCGAATTAGACTCAAATGAACTAAAGTAACTGTTGGAAAATTTATGTCAATTTCTTTTAATTTTATTTATTAATAAGATCTTTTGTTGTTCAAAAGAATATTAACAAATAATGAAAAATAAAAAATATCACGTACAAATTAAACGAACCGTAAAAACTTTTCCCTATATGAAAATTGTTATAACCATATAAAATTTCACTCACCAACCCAATCTCCAATTATTACAAAGAAAAAAACTCGAGATTTATCACACCTACTTTTTTACCTTATAGGACCCCCCCCGGGCGCCGATTAGCCCCTGTTTGTGACTGCTCAGATTTTGGAGTGGGGGTGGTCCGGGTCGAAGATGAAGTTCACGTTCTTATTTTTGATTTTTGATTTAATTTTATTATAAATATATAATTTTACTAGTTTACCCTCATTTAATTCGTCAATTTGAGTCAAAATTCAAATTTCAATGTTGACCAACGGAATTATGTATAGAATCTACTAATGGACTCCAATTGCCATCAAAGCAAAAGGTTTGGGATCGTAGCCACAAAAATGAAATGTTAAAGTATATTCTACAACAAAATGAAAGCTTTGAGATCTTCGTTGCAATTTTCCCTAAAAATAATGGTATTTAGCACACATTTTTCCCATAAATAGGGGAGATTTCAAGGGTATTCTCTCGAGTTGCTTTTACGGAACCAAAACTCACAGAAAAGTCACAGATCACTCACACTGGTGAGGCCTGTGTAATTTTCTACCAATTTTTTAACAACACTAGGGGGCCACGCATATGATTGTAAACTTCTGTCAAATGAATAGCTCTGTACAAATTACTTTTTCCTACTCTCAACTATAATCCTACTTACTATAAAAGAGGCAATATGTCAATTACTGTTCATTCAAGACGTATTTTGAGTTTTCCTATTTTACCCTTCAATATCCCATGGAAAATTTATGTCAATTTCTTTTAATTTTATTTATTAATAAGATCTTTTGTTGTTCAAAAGAATATTAACAAATAATGAAAAATAAAAAATATCACGTACAAATTAAACGAACCGTAAAAACTTTTCCCTATATGAAAATTGTTATAACCATATAGAATTTCACTCACCAACCCAATCTCCAATTATTACAAAGAAAAAAACTCGAGATTTATCACACCTACTTTTTTACCTTATAGGACCCCCCCCGGGCGCCGATTAGCCCCTGTTTGTGACTGCTCAGATTTTGGAGTGGGGGTGGTCCGGGTCGAAGATGAAGTTCACGTTCTTATTTTTGATTTTTGATTTAATTTTATTATAAATATATAATTTTACTAGTTTACCCTCATTTAATTCGTCAATTTGAGTCAAAATTCAAATTTCAATGTTGACCAACGGAATTATGTATAGAATCTACTAATGGACTCCAATTGCCATCAAAGCAAAAGGTTTGGGATCGTAGCCACAAAAATGAAATGTTAAAGTATATTCTACAACAAAATGAAAGCTTTGAGATCTTCGTTGCAATTTTCCCTAAAAATAATGGTATTTAGCACACATTTTTCCCATAAATAGGGGAGATTTCAAGGGTATTCTCTCGAGTTGCTTTTACGGAACCAAAACTCACAGAAAAGTCACAGATCACTCACACTGGTGAGGCCTGTGTAATTTTCTACCAATTTTTTAACAACACTAGGGGGCCACGCATATGATTGTAAACTTCTGTCAAATGAATAGCTCTGTACAAATTACTTTTTCCTACTCTCAACTATAATCCTGCTTACTATAAAAGAGGCAATATGTCAATTACTGTTCATTCAAGACGTATTTTGAGTTTTCCTATTTTACCCTTCAATATCCCATACTAAATTAATCCACATCTTTTCGACTGAATATTAAAAATATTCAATATTGTGATGCTGCTGTTTTGCCTGATTTGAATTTTTACGTCCAAAACAAAATAGTTGATGTCATACCACATAATATTTTTTTTAAGAAAATGATATAAATTATATTGAGAAAATTGTCGTGAAAAAATAACAAACATTAATAAAATAATTGATTTTCTTAAGAAAAAAGATGAGTTATACGTATTTTTTAACACACACGTTTGATGTACGTTTAAATATTTTCGATATTCATTTAAATAATTCGATATGTCTATGATATAGTTCTCGAAATGAATTTCGAGAGAACATAGAAGATTTATGTATTCAACTACTGTACAATCATTGACATATATTACAATAAAAGAGTGAATGTGGCGAGCACTATTCATTCAGGGCGTATTCTGTATTTTCTTATTTTCCCCTTGAATATTTCATAATATCTCACTTCGCTCCTAAAATCACTACTAATGATCTTCCTACGTGTGAGTGATGTTGCTGTTTTGCTTGATTTGAATTTTTACGTCAAAAAAAAATAGTTCACATCATACCACATAATATTTTTTTTAATAAAATGATATAAATTATATTGCGAAAATTGTCAAAATAATAATAAATATTAATAAAATAATTGATTTTTTTAAGAAAAAAGACTAGTTATACGTATTTTTTAATACATATGTTTGATATACATTTAACTATTTTCGATATTTATTTAAATTATTCGATATGTCTATAATATAGTTCTCAAAATGAGTTTCAAGAGAATATATAAGATTTATACATTCGACTACGGTACAATAGTCAATAAATTTTTAAAGTTAGCTTATTAACAAAATTCTTATTTTTTTAAATGGTATCTCTTTTGACATTAAAAAAAATTTAAAAGCTTATTACGAAATAGATTCGTATAAAAAAAAATATTAAAGGAAAAAAAATTATTGTGGTATCTCCGTGCATCACGGAGCAAATGCTCCGTGACATGGGGCAATTTTGCTCCGTGTCACGGAGCATTTTCAATAATATGTATATTTTTTTAAAATGATGCTACACGTAATTTTTTTTTCATTGGTTGATTGATAATTTTTTTTGTGTCAATTTTTTTTTTCAATTGATGATTTATTTAGTTTTTTTTTTTATAAAAATCTACTATAAATTTTCTATGTCCTTTTGAAACTCATTTCGAAAACAATATTATAGAAAAATCGAATGATTTAAATGAATATCGAAAATAGTAAAACGTACATCAAACGTGTGTGTTAAAAAATACTTATAATTCGTCTTTTTTCTTTAAAAAAAATCAATTATTTTATTAATATTTATTATTTTGTCTCGATAATTTTCTCGATATAATTTACATCATTTTCTTTAAAAAAATTTATGCGTATGATGTCAATTATTTTTCTTTTTGGACGTAAAAATTCCTAATAAAATTATTATCACTTTATAATTTATATGGGTTATAAATTGTTATACTATTTTTCCTACTTTTTTTCATTTCTTTACGTAACATATATATATATATATATATATATATATATATATATTTCTTTTTTGCATTCCTTTACGTAACAAGTAATCAAACTTTTAGATTTATTAAGAAAAATAAATAGATATTTTGATACAATAATATTACTTAAAAAATAACGTATTCCGTGCGGGTGGAAAACTAGTTATTTCTAAAAGGAAGAGGGCAAAACCAAAAAGGCCACCTCAGCTAGAAGTGTCGTAGAAGCAAAAAGCTACACGTAAACAAGGAACGTATGGGGCCACGTTCCAATCCAAGAGTGGAGATGAGGTTTGCCGTAACGTGTGGTCATCACACTTCTCTGTCTCTTTCTGCTTCTCTGTTGCCCTGCTTCATTGTTTAGATATTTGTCTCCAAGCCTCTGATATTTCATTCCAGTTTTTGACATTGAACCAAAGAGGAAGAGAGAAAAAATTGACGCACAGTTCCTATTACTCTGCAAAGAACCCAGGTGTAAGTACTGGTAATTATCTATATTATGGCTATGGTAGCAAAGCTACCCTTGCCGTCAATAGATTGCCATCACGTCGCCGCCCAACTGCTGGCGTCGCCGTCTTCCCGTCAAGTTCTCTGGCATAGTTTTGGGCGGTGGGACAGATTAGGTGTTAGGGGCCGTGGGAGAATTTTTGTTCAACCATGCAGATCTTTCAGGTCTGAGGAGGAAAGTGTGGTCGATGAGAAAGGGAAGAATAATCTAGAGAATTTTGGGGAAATTAAGGAAAGTAATGTTCTGGAGACTGAAAGAAGAGTAAATAAAATTGTGGATTCTGTGAGAAATGCTGTTTGGAAAGTTTCAAAGCCAAGTTTAAGGTCGCAAGGCAAGATAAGAGAAGCTATGGAGAAGCTGGAAGAGAAGTTATTTTCTGTAAGTGATGCTTCTTCTTTTTTTATTCTTTTTTTTTTGTCCCTTTTTTGGGAAATTTTCATTTGAATTGATGATAAAATCCAGTAGAGGATATTCATATGAGAAATTTCAAACTTTTTTCTATTTCTTTACGTAACATCTATATATATATATATATTTCTTTTTCGCATTCCTTTACGTGACAAGTAATCAAATTTTTAGATTTATTAAGAAAAATAAATAAATATTTTCACACGATAATATTACTTAAAAAATGACATATTCCGTGCGGGTGGAAAACTAGTTATTTCTAAAAGGAAGAGGGCAAAACCAAAAAGGTCACCTCAGCTAGAAGTGTCGTAGAAGCAAAAAGCTACACGTAAACAAGGAACGTATGGGGCCACGTTCCAATCCAAGAGTGGAGATGAGGTTTGCCGTAACGTGTGGTCATCACACTTCTCTGTCTCTTTCTACTTCTCTGTTGCCTTGCTTCATTGTTTAGATATTTGTCTCCAAGCCTCTGATATTTCATTCCAGTTTTTGACATTGAACCAAAGAGGAAGAGAGAAAAAATTGACGCACAGTTCCTATTACTCTGCAAAGAACCCAGGTGTAAGTACTGGTAATTATCTATATTATGGCTATGGTAGCAAAGCTACCCTTGCCGTCAATAGATTGCCATCACGTCGCCGCCCAACTGCTGGCGTCGCCGTCTTCCCGTCAAGTTCTCTGGCATAGTTTTGGGCGGTGGGACAGATTAGGTGTTAGGGGCCGTGGGAGAATTTTTGTTCAACCATGCAGATCTTTCAGGTCTGAGGAGGAAAGTGTGGTCGATGAGAAAGGGAAGAATAATCTAGAGAATTTTGGGGAAATTAAGGAAAGTAATGTTCTGGAGACTGAAAGAAGAGTAAATAAAATTGTGGATTCTGTGAGAAATGCTGTTTGGAAAGTTTCAAAGCCAAGTTTAAGGTCGCAAGGCAAGATAAGAGAAGCTATGGAGAAGCTGGAAGAGAAGTTATTTTCTGTAAGTGATGCTTCTTCTTTTTTTTTTTTTCTTTTTTTTTGTCCCTTTTTTGGGAAATTTTCATTTGAATTGATGATAAAATCCAGTAGAGGATATTCATATGAGAAATTTCAAACTTGTTAGTTAACTTTAGTATATATTGGGGAATTTGGCAAGAACGCTATTTTTTTTTTTTTTAATTCAATTGATTTTGGAAACATTATTTCACATTAATCAAACTCCAATAAGTTGTTAAATATGGTTAAAATCTGCAATTAATTTAATTTGAATTAAGCAATTAAGTTAATTTTAATCAAGTTTCTCAGCTAAGAAGTGCGGTTCATAATTCATAATCAAAACTTTCAAAATTTGGTGGTCAAGAGTTTCCTTAATGTCTCTGATTTTTATTAAAAAAAAATTAAAAGAAATAGGAAAGGAAAGAATGGTATGAATTTTGTGATGAGTAATCCTATTCATATTCTGCATTAACGTGATCGTTATACATGACAACTTTTTATTTGAGATATTAACTTGTTATTTGTGGCAACGGAATTATCGAAAATTAATATATCAAATAACAAACTGCCAGGTAGGATGACTGTTGCAGCTGTTGATTATGAATATCGAGGCCCCACTTCAGCTGCATTTTTTGAAAAATACATTTTTAAACAGTGATTTGACATCATTTCAATCATACATTCTTCAATAAAATAATATTACACGTAAATCCAAAATTTTTCCTTATTTTTTAACCATAAATTCTCCATCTGTCTACTATTCCAAAATACATTCTTTCTAAGTAATGTGGCCCAAACACACACTGGATAACATTATTCTTTTGTGACATCTGTGTGTTCCTTTCAAGACTTCATTTTAGTTCAAAGGTAATTTTGGCTTACCTACATATTGACGTGCATGTTAATACCTTTGCCTCCTAACAGCTTTCCATTCACGTGGGTCGATACATCGTGATGATGTTAAGCACTGGAGCTATACTGCTAACCGGGTTTCAATTATCAGGTTGGCTGATGGATATCATTTTTCTGTTGATTTCATTACTAAATTGGAAAATATTCAGCCTGGTATGAGGTAATTAATGTTAAGTTTTCGAATTTCTTCAAAGGTGGAGATGGTCAGATGAATGCCTTGATATGGTATAGTTGGCTTGGAGGGATCATAATTGGGACAATGATTGGTTCCAATATGGTGTTAGACGAAGTCAGTCGATCTGGTCCTCGCAATGTTGTCATAACTGGAAGGTATCTTCCTTATAGAGACACAAAATGGTTTTATTTCTCACTGGATTTTGGAAATTTAGTTGCACTGTGGACATCCTATTTTCTGCTGCTCCTAGTTCACTGCTAAAATTACCTTGGATGAAACTTTAAGCTTCTTTTCTTCATAGAATATGATGCTCTTGTGATTCCAAGGTCTATGCTTTAATAATTTGCAAGCTAACCGTGGATGTCAAGCCGATTCTGAAGATGATAATTCGACAACTTTAACATTTTTTTCCCTCAAAGCATAGCCTAACATACTCGTATTCTCTCAATATTAGTTATGAGTCTGTTTTTTTTTTTTTTTTTTTTTTTTTTTCCTT